GGGCAAGACAGCAAAGGGCAGTGGGGGAGCTCGCTTGTAAGACCTGCCGGATTGCTAATGGCAACTAGAAGCCTGGGCCACAAGGCACCCAGGAAGACAACGGAGGATGCAAGGAGAGGAGATGCAGAGAAAGGGCAGACACCGGGAGAGCTGGGAGACTCAGGAGCATGCTGGGCAGGAATGAAAGCATGCACAGAAGACAGAGCCAGCCAGCCCTCTTGCAGGCAGAACAGAGAAGGCAAGAAGGAGCTGTGAGGGGAGGGAAAGACAGAGTGTGCGGGCAGATGGGGGTGAGAAGTTGCCCTACGCTCACCTCTCCACCACCTGCCCACCGGGCCAGAGGCCAGGCTGGCCAAAGGAGGTCAGAGCGACCAGCGTGGCAGTGCCAGGACGAGGGTCACAGAGTGACGGGGCAAAACTGAAGGCAGCCGTGGGCAGTAGCCGGCCAGCAGCCCTGGCTGCGGGAGCCCATCCACAAGTGTGGGAGGCTCGGCTCAGAAATAACAGGCGCTAATCTGTCCTGCAGCTCCTCATGTTATCTGCATGTCTGCTGGACCTCCTCAGCCTGTCCTGCGCTGGCTGTCCTGGGGCCAGAGCCGGGAGCAGGCTGAATCCCTGTCCTGTGTTGAGGTCTAGACTCCTCCTCGGGGCCCCCGACATCGGCCGGCTCTTCTCCCTGCCCGAGGCCTCTTCGTGCCTGCTTATTCTCAGCTCCCACCCTGTGTCCCGCTGGGCTGGCCCACCTACAAAAGGACAGGTGGCCACTGACTGCAGGAAATGGGGTGTGTACAGACCGGGCTCTCGGGGGTGCAGGATGCGGCTAGGGCACTGGAGGGTGGCAAGAGTGGGTCCCCCAAGGGAAGAGGAGAAGATGGAGAAGAGCCAGAGCAAGACAAGGTCTGAGTCAGCTTGGCAGCTTGTCCCTCTTCCTCCACCTCCCTGGGGTCCCATCCCACACACCGGGCTGAGCTCAGAGCTATATATACCTCCCAGCTGGACGGCAGCCCCTGCCGAGGGCCCCTTCACCAACTCCCTTCGCGGTCCTGCCCTGGCTCAGCCCCCGCGCCTGGTAAGAGGAGATGGGGATAAGCCAGTGTATGGACCCCAGCAGGATCTGTGCTCAGGAAGGACAGGTGCCCTGGGGGCTGGGTGAGTCATCGGACACTGAGAAGCAGCCTCCAGTGGCCCTGCCCGGAGCCTGACCCACCTGGAGCCCGGGCCAAGCCAGGCCAAGCTGGAGGCGGGGGCAGGGAGGAGAGGAACAGGAGGGGCACCAGGCTTCACTGAGCGCACAAAGGCCACTTGGGGTAATGGGGGAGCACTGTGCCTGGGGGCAGGGAACTGCTTCTAGCCTTTGCTCTCCCACTTACCATCTGGGAGAACCTGGGAGAAACTCTTGGCTTCTCTAAGCATGTAAAACACTAATCCTAACCCTAACTTAACCCTAACCCCAACCCTTGAAAAGATCGAAGAGCTAGAGGACATCAGAGGCCACTGACAGCTCCTGTCTTCTTCGGCATAATTAAGAGGCTCCTGGCCCCTGCCCCCCTCCCCTCTCTTCCTCCGGGTCCTCCCCTGTGTGATCCCCCCACCCTTTGCCCCTCCCTGTGTCTCTGCACAGGCGGAGAGCCATAAACAGGACAACAACATAGCCAGGACAGTTTGCCAAACACAGTTTTCATCCTGCTCCCCCCGCCACTCAACAGCTCCCCTTGGGCCAAAGAAACTTCAGAGGTCTGCAGGCTTCCACTTCCCAAACCGGCTCAGTCACAATCGTCTGCCGACTGACAACAAAGTCTCTTAACCCAATTCCTTGACACGTGAAGCGGGGAGAGAAATATATACCCATAACAAGTAAATAAAACTACGCACCCCGCAAATGTCTACCGCCAGGTGAACAGAGAAAAACACAATGTGGTCTATCATACCACGCAACGTTAGGAAGTTCTGACTTGGGCTACAACAGGGAGGGCCCTCAAGGACACGATGCTAAGTGAACGAAGGCTGTCAAAAAGGGGCAGACGCTGCCTGATTATTCCACTTCTGGGAGGTCCCTACAGCAGTCACATCCACAGAGACAGAAAGCTGAGTGGCGGCCGTCAGGGCTGGGAGGAGGATGGAATGGGAGTTAGTGTCAAGTGGGTATGGGGGCCTCAGGAAGATGCAGAAGTTCTGGAGAAGGGCGGTGCTGGTGGCTTCACCACAACGTGACTGTCCTTTATGTGACTCAACTGTACACTTAAAAATGGTGAAAAGGGGGGCGCCTGGGTGGCTCAGTGCTTAAAGCCTCTGCCTTCGGCTCAGGTCATGATCTCAGGGTCCTGGGATCGAGTCCCGCATCGGGCTCTCTGCTCAGCAGGGAGCCTGCCTCCTCCTCCTGTCTCTCTCTGCCTGCCTCTCTGCCTACTTGTGATCTGTCTGTCAAATAAATAAAAAAATATCTTTAAAAAAAATGGTGAAAAGGGTAAATTCTGTGTAATGTATATTTTACCACACACACACAAAGAGACATCTCAGCATTCAGAGTCTGGTCCCCAGCGGCACTCCAACAAATGTCTGCTGAATCTGCCATGTGCTGCCATTTCCCCGGCCCCCCGGACACCGCAGCACCCTCGGCTCTCTCCTTCAGCTGAATGCCTCTTGGCCCCTTGTGTTTGCCAGAAAAGTTGCTCCTTAAAGCACCAGGATGTATGCTGCTTCCCAACAAGAGACCCAGACAGCTCTCCAGCTAAACGTTTTGTTCACACCTGCCCTCCCCCGCCCCTTCTCCCCTTCACACCTCAGCTCTGCATCAGGACCCATCCCATTCTCCACCAGAGTAGTAGAAAGAGCCAAAGATACCAGCTCTCCATTCCTCTCCAGCTCCAGGGCAATAACCTATGTAAAACGCTTGGTCCCACACCCAGCACCCCAACCAGGTGCCCCATACACGTCAGCAGTCTTCTCCACGAAGCTTCCACAGGGGCCAGAAGTAAGAAGCAACCACCAGAGCAGGAAGTGGTTAGAGCAAGGGTGGTATGGGGGCGGGGAGGGGGGGGGGCGACACAGGGCACGGATGCCCAGAGAAATCAGAGAGACTCTGTGGACGCAGCAAAGCCACAGCAGTGGGGCTGGTGAGGAGAGAGGCACAGTTACAACCAGAGCCTGAGGACGAGACCCAGGGTCCAGCTAGCACGGACCTTGACTCCCCAGCAAGTAAAAGAAAGAGAGGAATCGGGACGCCTGGGTGGCTCAGTTGGTTGGACGACTGCCTTCGGCTCAGGTCATGATCCCGGAGTTCCCGGATCGAGTCCCGCGCATCGGGCTCCCAGCTCCATGGGGAGTCTGCTTCTCCCTCTGACCTTCTCCTTGCTCATGCGCTCTCTCATTGTCTCTTTCTCAAATAAATAAATAAAATCTTTAAAAAAAAGAAAGAAAGAGAGGAATCACTGGCTTTGTAGGGAAGGCTGCAGCTAAAGGATGAGCACCAGGGGCTGTGAGAGCCCCGTGGTGCCCCAAGATGGTAACAAATTGGACACGTGTTTGCTCTCACTGAACTAAGTTGAAGAGTGTCTGCCCAGAGCTCCTGTTCACCCAGAACCCCAGAAGTGCCCTTATTTGGAAATAGGGTCTTTATAGTTGTACTAACATGAGGTCACACTGGATTAGGTGTGACGAGTATCCTTATAAGAAGAGGCAAGGACACGCATGGACGACAGCCATGTGACAACAGAGTGGCAGCAGAGTCACAGATAGGAGTGATCCAGCTGCAAGCCCCATGTGACCCCAGCTTCCCACTCTGGCTTATGAGCAACCACCAGAAACTAAGAGACTGGAACAGACCCTCCCTCAGAACCCCCAAAAGAAACCAGCCTTACAGACACCTTAACCTGAGACTTCTCCTCAAACAGAAAATACGTTTCTGCTGTGCTAAGCCACCCATTTGTGGTCATTTCTTACAGCAGCCCTCGGAGAGGAATACGGCCAGCCCCCACGAGCCCCTCACACAGCGCACTCCAGACAGCTGACAAAGTCTCTGTCTTGGGGGACCGAGGGGGAACCGGTGCTGCATGGGGGAGAGAGAACCTCAGTGGAAACTCCTGGGGGTGGGTGCCTGGCCTGGAGCCATCTTGTTGGGAGCCAGGGCAAGGCCCCCTGTTGTCAGAGGACCCGCCAGTTACAGAAACCCTCCCAGTGCCTGCCTCAGCCCCGTGTTTCAAGCCGGGGGTCCTGGGAATGGAGGCCTGACTGGGGTCTTCCGACAGCTATTCGGTTTTTGGTTTTGTTCTACTTTCCCACGTACCCTCTCCTCCATCCAAAGGTCAGCACACCCCCAGGCAGACTGCTTTGTTCTTCCTACGTGGCTATTGGACATGAAGGATCTCTGTATGTTCCACATTCTCAGCCCCTCCCAAAGACCAAGCCTTTCCAGATGACTCTGAGCCGGAGGGGACGTTTCCTGAGTGAAGGTCTAGAGCACCCGTCTGCTTCTCTCCTGGGACACCCCACATCTGCCTTGTAGCACAGCTCTGTGTGCATTCACCTCCCCCGACCCTCACCATGTTGTGAGCAGGGGCCAGACCCTCCCCACCGAGGGCTGGCACACAAGGTTCACGACTGAGTGTGTGCATGAATGAGGGAATGAATGAGTCCAGGAGCCACCTTCCTAACCTTTCACAGCCAAGAGTGGGGAGCTGAGAATGAGGGGGCATTTGCCTGAGGGACAGCTTATGGGATTTTCCCAGTCCGCTCTGGGGAGATGGGTTGCGGGGTGTTCTTCCCTTTCTCAAGTCTTCTACTACCACAGCCTCTCACCCAAAGGCTTCTCCTCACACACCTTCCCACCCCTTGGGAAGCCCAGACAGAAGGAAGCAGTGTCTGCCTTAAGTGTCCCAATGGGCCCTCCCCTTCCATTACTTAGAGAAGCCCGAGGGTCCTATGTCCCCCCGTGCCTAGGCCCTACTTCCAGAACTGAACCGTGAGGGCAGGGGCCTGCCACCCCGCCCCAACAGGCTCCTTACCGTACATCTTGCCCTCGTCTGACAGGATGATCTTACGCCGGCCACAAGGGGGGTAGATGGCCAGGGCCTCCTGGAAGCTCTGCTCGATATCAGGGCTCCACACTCCCTCCGCGTCATTGTCGATGGGCTTGTCCAACGCCTGACTGCCCCCAGAGACGTTGCTCCCCTCAGGGGAGTTAGGAGGGCTCCACTCGTTGGAGGTAATGGTGCCGGCCTTGCCCTCCAAGGCTCCGCTTGGAGGAGCGCCCGTTGGACCTGTTTGGGCAGAAACCACAGCATCGGAGGAAGAACTATACGGCCATGGGACAGGGCACCCCGGGAAGTGCCCAGCCCGAGAATCAGTCGCTCTTCCTTGTTCGGCCCACAACAGCACAGAAGCTTGGAGGGAAAAGGCCAGGGACCCAGAGGAAGAGAATGAAGTGAAAGGTCTGGGAGAATCAGGAGGCCTAGAACCTCGGGCAGGTTGTTCCCCCCGTGTAGACCCCAGCTTCCCACCCTGTGGCCTAGGCGCTCTCAGAGCATAGCTCTAAGAATCCAAAGACAGGGCTGAGAGGCAGGAGACAAGGACCAAGGACCAAGAGATGTTCTGACATCAAATCAAAAAGGGGCAAATAGGATGCAAATTATTGTGCACTGTTTGTAGAAATGTAAAGTGTAACCACTACAGAAAACAGTATGGAGGTTCCTCAAAGAATTAACCATAAAACTACCGAGCAAGCCAACAATTCCACTTCTGGGTATATATCCAAAGAAACTGACAGCAGTGTCCTGAAGAGATATTTGTACACCCATGTTCACAGCAGCCTTATTCACAATAAGACAGATGAACGGATAAACCAAACGTGGTACATACACAAAAGGGAGTATCATTCAGCCTTAAAAAGGAAGAACAGTCTGTCATACGTTACAGCGTGGATGGACCTTGCGAATGTTATGCTGAATGAAAAAAGCCAACCACAGAAAGATAAATGCTGTAGGACTCCACTTATAAGATGTATCTAATAGTCAAAATCACAGACAGAAAGTAAAAGGCTGGTTCCCAGGGAGAGGAAGAAGTGGAGAATTGTTGCTTAATGGGTATACAGTTTCAGTTTTGCAAGATGAGAAAGCTGGAGATCTGCTGCACGACAACGTGAAAATTAACTTTCAATATTACCGAACTAATACACTCAAAAATGGTTATGATGATAAATCTTGTATGTTTTTTACTATAATTAAAATCTTGTATTTAAAAAAAAAGGATACAAAATAAAATGCAGGTTACCATGCTCCTATTCTATCCTCAGCTTGGGCTCTTTTAAAAAGAAGATTTTAGGGATGCCTGGGTGGCTTGGTCTTTAAGCGGCAGCCTTCAGCTCAGGTCATGATCCCAGGGTCCAAGGATCAAGCCCTGCATCAGGCTCTCTGCTCGGCAGGAGGCCTGCTTCTCCCTCTCCCACTCCCCAGGCTTGTGTTCCCTCTCTCATTTTGTCTCTCTGTCAAATAAATAAATAAAATCTTTAAAAATAAACAGATAAATAAATAATAAATAAATAAATAAAGGGAAGATTTTAGCCCTGGGAGATTCTCACATATGGGGGCTAAAGCAAGGGTGATTGGCTGGTGTCTCTAGAAGCTGACAACACAGCGCTGCCCTTTGCCACCAGCCCGAATACAGGCTGGGAGACTAAGTGCCTGCAGGCTGGCCAAGTTCCTTGCAACCTCTCCTCCCTCCAAGGTTGTACCCTCACCCACCCCTCACTCAGCTCCTCCTTTTCCTTCACTGTGGACATTGACTATACTGACACTCATACCCACCTCTTTGTGAAGAACTGTGGGGTATGTGGGGCTTCATGTACAGAGAAGGAAAAGAAAGTGAAGAATCCTCTGGAAGTCTTCTCTCAGAGCATCCTAGAGGTGAGAACTATTGCTATCTTTCTCTCTCTAAAATACATAAAATCTTAAAAAAAAAAAAAAAACCTTTTACTTTAATGGCAACAGAGTAGATAAGATGACTTGAAAACTCTCACTCTCTAAAAGAAATTTAGAAATGATAAATAAAATATAACAAATATAATACTTTTAAATGTACAGTTATCTTCAGAAGAAAGTAAACACCTAGAGGCCCCCAAATGAAAGAACTCTAAGTAAAGGAATCTGTAAATGAAAAAAATATATGTTTATAAAAAATAAAATTAAAAAAAAAAAGGAATCTGTAAATGAGCCATTACTACAAAAGCCCTGGGAGGCCGCTGGGTTTTAATAGCTACGCAGATGACAGCTTAGACCTGACAGATATGGGAAGTTGGAACTTGGAATCATACCTCAATCTTCATAGAAAAGGAAGAATACTGACAAAATATGACCAGGAAGATTATCTGTCTTGGCCTAAGTCCTAGGTAAAAAAGAGAAGAGAGGGGAAAGGGGGAGGGGAAGAGAAAGAAAAGGAAAGGAAAAAGAAGGAAAGAAAAGAAAAGAAAAAGAAAAAGAAGAGGACGCCTGGGTGGCTCAGCTGGTTAAGCAACTGCCTTTGGCTCAGATCATGATCCCAGAATCCTGGGATCAAGCCCTATATCTGGCTCCTCGCTCAGCGGGGAGCTGGCTTACCCCTACCTCTACCTGCTACTCTGCCTGCTGGTGCTCTGTCAAATAAATAAAATTCTTAGAAAGAAAGAAAGAGAGAGAGCGCGAAAGAAAGAAAGGGAGGGAGGGAAAAAGAAAACTGTCTTTCCTAAATATTTGTAACTGAAGGACTGCCTTGACCTTAAGTGGATTTGAGATTTGAGTTTTACGTTACACAGGAACTCCCAGCCAATTCATAACAATAAATAGCGGTCCATGGTTGAAAAATCTCTGACAGTCCTCACCCATATTACAGAGAATTCCCAAAGAGAAAGCCTTGCTAAAAAAAGATCTCAAAATACAAAGTTGCAACATTTAAGAAAGAGGAAACAATCTACTATGATCAATATTCAACAGGACTAGAGCCCCAAGAACTAGAGATAACTGAACTATCAGATAAAAATTATTATAGAATGGTATTTAAAATAATTACTGACTTAAACAAAGAATTGGAAACATGAGAAAGAATTAGACACTATCAAAAAACACAAAGCAGACTGGAAAAAAAACCAAATAGGACATTTAGTTACTGGAGTTAAAACTCAATGATTTTACTGAGATAAATAGCACATTAGATAGAGCTAAAGGAAGAATTAACAACCTGGAGGATGGATATGAAGATATTACTCAGAAATATATATTTTTTAATGATAAAGAGCAAAAACAATAAAATAAGGCAGTTCAACATACCTTCAATTAGCATTCCTAAAAGACAGAATACACAAAATGAAGAACATTTGAAAAGATAATGGCAAGGAAACTTTCCCGAAATAATGAAATACATGAATCTCCAATTAAGGAGCTATACTGAATCCTAATGAAGAAAAATTCCAGTAAAATCAACACATACTATCAGGACACTGCAGAATACCAAAAAGAAAGAACAGATCTTAAAAGCATCAAGAGTAAAAAAAGACAAATTACCAAAAAGGAAGAACTATGACATTAACGTATATATGGATAGTGGACTTCTCAACAGTAGCATTAGAGGACCCAAGGTTATGTCTCCAAACTGTTGAGAGAAATAGAACTGTTAACCTAAAATTAAAAGCCGAGCCAAAATATCACTCAAGAGTAAACATTAAATAAAGGCATTTTCAGACAAAGATGGAGAAAATTTACTACTAACACACCCTCACTAAAAAAAAAAAACAGGAAAGGAGGGGTTTTTAAAAGGAACATCTAGAAAAAGAAGACATTACACACATGGAAGAGGGGTGAACAAAGTAGTGGTAAAGATAAAAGTGAATCTAAACAATATTATTAACTCTTGGGCGCCTGGGTGGCTCAGTTGGTTAAGCGTCTGCCTTCGGCCTGGGTCATGATCCCAGGGTCCTGAGATCAAGCCCCGGGCATTGGGCTTCCTGCTCTGCGGGGAGCCTGCTTCTCCCTCTCGCTCTACCGCTCCCCCTGCTTGTGTGCTCCTGCTCTCTCTCTGTCAAATAAATAGATAAAATCTTTAAATAAAAGTTAACTCTATAAAAACAATTAACAATGACCATGACCAAGTCTGGTCATGCAACACCCACGTGTGCACACATGCACATGGAAGGAAAACCATGTTTCTGAACCATAACATGGGAAGAGGCATTTGCTAAAACTCAAGACCCAGTCACAATAAAAATGCTTAGCAAACTCTAGAAACAAACTTTCTTAATGTGACAGAAGATATCTTCCCAAAACCCACTGTGATGTTATGATTTATAATAAATTTGTATTTGGTCTTTGCCCCGGTTTCTAGCACAGAGTTCCTAAGACCCTTGGAATTTCCTAAGTGATAAGAGCGATAAAGGTGTCTTATTATGTGAATGTGGTGACTTTTGGAATGCAGCTAAGGATGAGGGCTGGTGGCCAGGAGAACCAACCGTGTAATCAGAGGGTTGGAACCTTTAGCCCCACACCACCAGCTCCCCTCCCAAAAAGTCCAGGGAAAGGAGAGGGACTAGAGGTTAAACTAATTGCCAATGGCCAGTGATTTAATCAATTGTGCCTATGTAATAAAGCCCATAAACACCCAGAAGGAGAGGGCTCAGAGAGCTGGTGAGCCAGTGAACACATGGAGATGTGGGGAGAATGGTACATACTTGTAGGGGGCTTGGAAGTTCCACACCCAACCCCCAACCTTGCCCTATGCCTCTCTTCTATCTGGCTGTTGCTAAGATAAAATAATCATTTCATAATCTACCAATAATCTAGCAAGTAAAGTGTTTCTCTGAATTCTATGAGCCACTCTAGAAAATCAATCGAACCCAAGGAGGCGTCACTGGAACCCCCAATCTTGCCACTGGTGTCTGGGGTTGGTGGACAGTCTTGTGGAACTAAGCTCTTAACCCGTGGGATATGATTACCTCCATGTAGACAGTGTCAGAAGTGGACTGAATTGCAGGACACTAGGCTGGTACTGGAGATTCACTAGTTGGTGTGTGACTGTCGTCCCCCCACCCCAACCCCACTCACAACTACGTTGGAAATGGTGACCAGAACTTTTACCTGTGCAACTCTTACTGATTGATTAAACACTGGAAGCATTACCTTTAAAGTCAGAGATAAGATAAAGAATGCCACTTTCAACATTTATATTCACACTGTAAAGTGTGGTTCTACCAAGAACCTAGTCAACACAGTCCTAGCCAACACAGTAGGATAAGAAAAAG